CCACTTCCTTGGTTTAAAATATATCATAAATTGTAGTTATCTAACATATACTTCCATGTATGTTTATCTAACAGATTACCACGTCGCCTTATCTAACAGAGAGTAAATGGTATACAATATCAAATTATAATCTACCAGCATTACTTGTTTCAGTAATTTAATCGTGTGTTATTCTTGTATTTAAGTGAGAAGAGTGAATAAACTATCATGGGTTGAAACAAATATATTGGAGTAGAAATAAACATTGTATATTGGTTTGCAAATAAATAATTGGTACAGATAATGCAATGTCATACAACATACTTTTTGGATTCGGTACAAATACAACCTTTTTATCATCAATGAAAATAATGTGATTTCAAAGTAACGATGAATAAAAAAACATTGCTTATATAAAGTACATGTAATTGGGTTCATTTAATTCACTTTGTATCTATAATATACATGTAGTATTAAACAATAAATATATTGATTAATGCCAATTCTATACAAATCTCATAGTTGTATTCATGTTTTCTTTACCATAACAAGAAACAGTACAACAGATTTAGTAACAATATATTCCTTTCTACATCCGTCAGAGTGGTTGATGATTCATAGATTCTAATAACCCCTTTTGAAGTTTATATGAAAGCTTTGATATCTGCTATGCAGATCTAGTTAAGCTTTCATATTACATATGAAAGCTTATTGTTTCTGTTAAGATTATTATTGTTATTTTTTTTTTGTGTTTTGTCCACAAATCGGATTTCTCAGAATCTAACCATAGGATCGTTCTGAAACTTTTACCTATCCCCCCAAAAATGGGTGGTGGCTGTTGATTAAATATATTTTCAAAACGTTTTACGAATCCGAAATCACCGAATTTTACGAAGGAATGCATTTGACCTACAATGCTGTAACTTTGTGACTATTTGACCTATTTTACTAATTCTTTTTTCTTTGAGTATCTTGAAACATTTACTTCAAATCTGCAATTTCGGATTTTGGCATTTCGAAAATTCGTCTCTGTCATTTCGAACCGGAAGTTATTACCAATTTGACAACTTCTTTAATAGTTGTGCGATTTTCGTGAAATTTAGAATGTTAGTAGATCTTGCCAATGCGACTTCAATGATGTCCTTGGAAATTTTCTAAATTATCTCCCCTTGGTGAAATTAAGGATCAAAGTTTTTAAAAAAATCGTCGAAATATAGGTCAGAATGACCTAAAAAAAAAATTCGATACTAGACAAGTAATTACTGATTCGTACACAAAATATGGAGTTTGTCGATCGAACCGGAAGTGCCACCATCTTTAAACGTGAAAAATCAAAAAGGCTTTTTTGCTATTTTACTTACAGACTCGGGCGTCATATTTTCGGAATCCTGGAAGGAATACCTAAAAATCTATCGGATCAGAATTTTGATTTCGGTCACGTGATGGTCACCATTTTGAATTGAAAATGAAAAATAGAAGCAATTTGAAGGGCCGGGACTTTGGAACACAAGAACTCTCCTTCTAATTAAGCTAGAATGTTCAAACTTGGTGTAGGCGTTCACTAGGTCAATGTCATGATTGAGTTCAAAAATGAATATTTTTTGCCTAGGGTAAGCAGAGATAAGCAAGCTGATTTGTTGATTCTTTAGGGCACGATGACATTGGTTATAATGAATGGAGGGCGATGAAACTCTTGTCAATCGAGAGGCTAATAGCTGGCCTGTTGTGTGAAATCATTGTATCATTTTTTGAAAATGTCCGGGGTAGCCGAAAAAAGGAGATCGAAATCCAAAAAGTCAAATCGTCGTTGGGACTATAATACGATTTTGAATCAAGTTATTTATCACTGAGGGACTCAAAATTAGGTTTGATGTAGCTCTGCTCATTTACAGTGGCGAATTTAACGGGCTCATGGGTTCCAGCTCCCTCCTCTAGAAATTTCACAGCACCCGCATGGATTGTGGCTAATTTTGTGGCAGAATTTTATTTTTCTGGGGGAGGTATTTCTAAATGGCTCCGACACAAGTGCCTGAAATGCCATGAAATCACGTTTTCGGCCTCCAATTAAAATTTCTTAGCGGGAGAACCCCCTGACCCGACCCCCTTGCGGGGCTTCACGGTCGGTATCAGCCCCCCTCCCCACCACCATGGTTAATCCGGCGTTGATGTTCCCTCTTGTGCAGCTGCAAAAGAATGTACAAGTTCATTGCCTCATTGTCAAAGATCCCACTTTTCTACCCCAGTTCGGGTAATGAGGTCGAGCGTATATTGTATAGGGGATATTAAACAAGCAAACAGTATGGCTGATGTCTCCCGCCAAAACCCCAAAGTAAAAGATGACACATTAATTAATCGCACTTTCATATTTTTTTCAAAAGTATCGAGCAATCAAACTATACTGTAAATTGCATCACTCTCTGTCAGATAGAAATCAAGGTTATCTTGTCCCAAAGCATCGACCAATGAAATTGCCAAGCTGTAGCTCAAAATGTTCAGTCAAGACCTGATGAACATCTACACCAAGTTTAAACATTCTAGCTCAATTAAAAGCTGGGTTGTTATGTTCCAGTACTTCATTATAACCAAAGTTATCATACCCCAAAGCATCAACCAATTCAAAGTCCCGGCCAATCAAGTTGCTTTGCTTATCCTGACTAAGAGAATGCTCATTGTCGAACTTGGTCAAGGTAATATGGTCAAGGTACTAATGTAATGAAACTATACACAAAGTTTCATCAAATTGCTTATCTCTGCTTACCCATTTTAATAGTCCCCTGCCAATCGAAAAGCCCCCCGACCCACCCACTCCACTCCCGTGTAATACATTAGGTTATAATTGTGTTACAAACGTATCACAAGGAGCATTTGAATATTCTCTCTGAGGCATCTGATACCACTTGTCATTGAGGTGTTCACACAGCCAACTCATTTTTGTTTGTTTGTGTTATCTTTATTCAGTATAAATCAACTAATACAAATGAAAAAAAGTACTTGGTTTAATGAGATTATCTTTTGAGAGTTGGTCATACAGGTATCACTAATCATAATTGCTCTTAACTTCAAATAAATATACACGATTATGTGTATTCTAAATATCAAATAAAACAATGATGATTTCTTTACAATAGCAGTACAACAAATTTATTCGCAATATTTTCCTTTGATCAGTTGATCAAAAACCTGATTATATTTACAATATATTCTAGGTCTTTGCTCTTTATTCCATTGGTTCAAAATATGATAAAAGAGGCTTATCAAAAAGTTTATATCATGTAGTCTTATATAACAAATAGAACAATGACATACAAGATGTTTCAAATCATAATCTATTTGCATTATTTATTTCAATAATTTGACCTGTGATATTCATGTATAAAGCAAAATAGTAAACATTGAATTTCATTCACTTTTATGTATAATATAGTATTAAACCGGTTAATTATTGTATACAACATTTATTTAATTTCATAGCAACATTTTATACTATTGTATTCATTGTAGTTTTTTGTCATTATTAGCCCAGTCCGTGCATAGCATTATGATGTGAAATCCCATTTCATTTCAATTATAATAGTCTTCATCTAGAAACAATATTACTATTTATATTGGTATGTTACTACCAAGATATAACAATAAAATTAGCAAAAGTATGTATAAATTAATAAAGTTCTCTTTAGTATCTTTCATGAATAGTCAATTGTTCAATACCATTATTTCTCTTCACCTCATGCAAATAAATTGAAATGGGATTTAATGTTCAACTGTTTTACTTCACAACTTACATAAATCATTTGGTGATAAAGAAACATACATTTCTAGTATTTTTTTAACATAGTGTACTATACTATGCATCATTATATAGAAGACATATGAATGAATAAACAAAAATATGGCAAAATGAACAACATGAGAATGATTGTAGAAGTATAAGAACAAAGCAATTGTTTAATATTAAAAATATTTGATTTTCTTCTATTTTAAAGTTACATCCTTTACATTTGTATTTATAGATTGTATGCAAAACATAATTAGAGAGAAATGGGTTTAACGTCCACTCAACACAAACAAGGTCATTTCGGGACTAACATATGGTTTAATTTTATTTCAATAATTTGCTTGCGCGTAGGGGGGTTTAGCAGTGGGGGGAAACCAGAGTACCCGGAGAAAATCAGGAGTATGGACAGGTGACCCTACTCCTTGCCACGTACAACCAGGGATTCGAGACCACGCCAGTTGACTTAATGGCAGGCCGTATGATACAGCATGCACACACTAACCATTCGGCCATCCAACCCAATACAGCAAGGATGAACAAATATTAGCATGTTTTAATGTTCATTATTAAAATAGAATACAAACAATGTAAGAATAATTATAATATCATGTATCAAACCAAAACAAATAATTCAATTTCAATAACTATTGAGAGCTGGCTGAAAAATTCTAAACCCATCTGTGAAAGAACTGTATAGAATTGTATAAAGTCCATTGTTTCCATTTATTTTTCTATGTAGTCACTTTTGAAGTGTACACTCTCACTCTTTAGTTAATGATGTTGCATGGCCTTGATGTCTGCCAGGAAGAAATTATCTTCAGTTACCCTTAAAAAATTGATCACAGCTGACATGACGTAATCATAGAGGGAAAATGATATCACCCATTTATGAACAGAAGTATTGTCTGAATAGAACACCTTTATAATACTTCTATTGATAGTCTGGCTGTTTTTAAGGTAGTCAATCAGCAGAATAGTTTAGGAATCATAAACGAGTGAACCCATCACCTGTCCAGTCGAAAGAACTGACCTGGCTTGATTGGGGACTTGCGAGTCTGGATGCTTCCATTGTTTTTATTGAATTTTGCATTCTGGTTGAAACTGATGAATCCAGGTCTCCTCTATGTTTAAAAATCTGGCTAAAATTTTTTTAGGAAATATTGAAAACAGCAAAGATTGTCACTGGATGTCACTGGATCAAGTACCTCCTGCAACCATTTCTTTAGTGCAGAAAAGGAAGGGCCATTGTCTCCTATAGTGGAGACCGTATCCACATATTTCAATGTTTGGGTTAGGACTTTCAGTTGCAGATACTTGATGACTGCCATATCGATAGTTCTGTCCATTTTTGGTGATTTCAATGGGTAGGTTCACAAGATTGTCTGGTACAAATACAATAATAACACTTCAGCTGCAGGTCTTATGTCTATGATTCATTCAATGATTCTACTTGTGGTGGTAAAAGCCAATTAAATCTCTCCTCTTCAGATCTAGAACTTTTCAGCCAGCTGTTGTATTATAGTGTATCCACACAAAGAAAAATTAACACAGAGAAAAATCATTATTACATAATAAATATATAAAATGACAATAAATGATGTGGTATTCATATTTCAATCAGAAGACGGAGAAAAATGGGGTTTAAGTCCACTCGACAGAAACTAGGTATTTTGGCATTAACACATGGTCCAATTTTATTTCAATAATTTGCTTGTGCGTATGGGTCATTAGCAATGGAAGGAAACTGGAGTTCGCAGAGAAAACCCTCGAAGGATGAACGTGCTACCCTACTCCTTGCCACGTACAACTGGGGATTTGAAACCACACCAGTTCACTAAATGGCAGACCTTATGATACAGCGCGCACATACTAACCATTCACCCCCCCCCCCTTATTTCAAACAACAAAATTAAATGTATTGATACAAATATATATCTATGGATACAAATATATCTGTACAAATGTATATAGATAGAATAATCGTATAGATAAAGAAAAATTAAAATCCCCGGCTACAATCCAACCAGGGAATAGCGGGAGTGTAGACGATCTGGGACCTAGCTCTCCAAACAAATTACGCTCCTGAAGCAAAAAGAAAGAGTAAATCGGTGCTGCCTGTTGTGTGTATTATATGTAAAAAACGTGACAGATTTGTCACTGTTGGAGAAAATAGGAAGAAGGGTGTATTAACACAGACTCAGACCCAAACAGGCTCAGGTAGGCCTAATGTTAATATTATGTTACTTACTAAATTTATAATTATTACTAATAAATATTAAATATATTCATCCTACAGTTTTTAATTATTGTGTTGTTGTTTTTGTTGTAAATGGAATCAGAAGTGCTACTGCAATCACTGTAAAATTGTTATGAAGCTAGCCAGTAAAGCCCTTTACCCCATTTGTTGATTTGGCACAGTCATTGGTTAAAGTGTTGCACATTTGCTTGCACAAGGGATGAAACATAGAGAAGTTAACTTGTTTTTTTATTTTCTTGGCCCACTTGTAGGTGCCTTGCTAAGACGATCTGTCTCTAGACCAAGTCCGCTCACACAAAGGATCTGAACTAAACCGCATGCCAGAGTTGACCAGCCAGGTACATGTACATGTAGGCCTCAAAGTGACATTCCCTCCCCCACCCTTGAGCACAAACAACATTCAACGCTATATGGTGTATAATTTGTTTGCAAATTTGTTTGTAGGCCAACTGTTGAAAGCTGCTGAATTGAAAGAGGATGAAGATATTTTAAGGCATATCAGAGGGCAAGATTGTGTGGCCATTGAGGTCAGATATCACCAAAAATGTTATAGGCAATATACATGTACTGAATTTCTTAGACAGTTATCAGAAAGGTAAATATTTGTGATGTTTTTTTTATTTGTATTCTCCGCCTTCTTGCCACTGGTATTATTCAAATAAAACTGAACCATGGGTGAGTCCTGAAATTACTATGTTTTTGTCCAGTGGACGTTAAACCGCAATTCTCCTCTCTATCTCTCCTTGTACTGCTAATGCCTTCCTGTCTTCATTAGCTGGTTTCTGCATGAAAATAAGATGTTAACCCCTGTGTAAGTGTCTTTTTCCTCTGTTGTACGAAATTAATGAGAGTAAACCAAGCTCCAGAATTTTGTTTTAATTGTGTACATGTATATGTTTATTTATATTTTTCAGCAAAGATGACTAGCCCTCCGTCGAATATTAAACCACATACAATATATTCTGTGAAGATGTCATAAGAGAAAGAATCATAAATGGCCAGCAAAGTTGTCTTGTACAGAGAGAGAGAGAAAGAGAAATGGGGTTTAACGTCCACTCAACACAAACCGTATCCACATATTTCAATGTTTGGGTTAGGACTTTCAGTTGCAGATACTTGATGACTGCCATATCGATAGTTCTGTCCATTTTTGGTGATTTCAGTGGGTAGGTTCACAAGATTGTCTGGTACAAATACAATAATAACACTTCAGCTGCAGGTCTTATGTCTATGATTCATTCAATGATTCTACTTGTGGTGGTAAAAGCCAATTAAATCTCTCCTCTTCAGATCTAGAACTTTTCAGCCAGCTGTTGTATTATAGTGTATCCACACAAAGAAAAATTAACACAGAGAAAAATCATTATTACATAATAAATATATAAAATGACAATAAATGATGTGGTATTCATATTTCAATCAGAAGACGGAGAAAAATGGGGTTTAAGTCCATTCGACAGAAACTAGGTATTTTGGCATTAACACATGGTCCAATTTTATTTCAATAATTTGCTTGTGCGTATGGGTCATTAGCAATGGAAGGAAACTGGAGTTCGCAGAGAAAACCCTCGAAGGATGAACGTGCTACCCTACTCCTTGCCACGTACAACTGGGGATTTGAAACCACACCAGTTCACTAAATGGCAGACCTTATGATACAGCGCGCACATACTAACCATTCACCCCCCCCCCTTATTTCAAACAACAAAATTAAATGTATTGATACAAATATATATCTATGGATACAAATATATCTGTACAAACGTATATATATAGATAGAATAATCGTATAGATAAAGAAAAATTAAAATCCCGGGCTACAATCCAACCAGGGAATAGCGGGAGTGTAGACGATCTGGGACCTAGCTCTCCAAACAAATTACGCTCCTGAAGCAAAAAGAAAGAGTAAATCGGTGCTGCCTGTTGTGTGTATTATATGTAAAAAACGTGACAGATTTGTCACTGTTGGAGAAAATAGGAAGAAGGGTGTATTAACACAGACTCAGACCCAAACAGGCTCAGGTAGGCCTAATGTTAATATTATGTTACTTACTAAATTTATAATTATTACTAATAAATATTAAATATATTCATCCTACAGTTTTTAATTATTGTGTTGTTGTTTTTGTTGTAAATGGAATCAGAAGTGCTACTGCAATCACTGTAAAATTGTTATGAAGCTAGCCAGTAAAGCCCTTTACCCCATTTGTTGATTTGGCACAGTCATTGGTTAAAGTGTTGCACATTTGCTTGCACAAGGGATGAAACATAGAGAAGTTAACTTGTTTTTTATTTTCTTGGCCCACTTGTAGGTGCCTTGCTAAGACGATCTGTCTCTAGACCATTTCCGCTCACACAAAGGATCTGAACTAAACCGCATGCCAGAGTTGACCAGCCAGGTACATGTACATGTAGGCCTCAAAGTGACATTCCCTCCCCCACCCTTGAGCACAAACAACATTCAACGCTATATGGTGTATAATTTGTTTGCAAATTTGTTTGTAGGCCAACTGTTGAAAGCTGCTGAATTGAAAGAGGATGAAGATATTTTAAGGCATATCAGAGGGCAAGATTGTGTGGCCATTGAGGTCAGATATCACCAAAAATGTTATAGGCAATATACATGTACTGAATTTCTTAGACAGTTATCAGAAAGGTAAATATTTGTGATGTTTTTTTTATTTGTATTCTCCGCCTTCTTGCCACTGGTATTATTCAAATAAAACTGAACCATGGGTGAGTCCTGAAATTACTATGTTTTTGTCCAGTGGACGTTAAACCGCAATTCTCCTCTCTATCTCTCCTTGTACTGCTAATGCCTTCCTGTCTTCATTAGCTGGTTTCTGCATGAAAATAAGATGTTAACCCCTGTGTAAGTGTCTTTTTCCTCTGTTGTACGAAATTAATGAGAGTAAACCAAGCTCCAGAATTTTGTTTTAATTGTGTACATGTATATGTTTATTTATATTTTTCAGCAAAGATGACTAGCCCTCCGTCGAATATTAAACCACATACAATATATTCTGTGAAGATGTCATAAGAGAAAGAATCATAAATGGCCAGCAAAGTTGTCTTGTACAGAGAGAGAGAGAAAGAGAAATGGGGTTTAACGTCCACTCAACACAAACTAGGTCATTTTGGGACTAACATACGGTTTCAATTTTATTTCAATAATTCGCTTGCGCGTATGGGTCTTTAGCAGTGAGAGGAAACCGGAGTGCCCGGAGGAAACCCACGAGGTTGAGAAAACGCCTCTATCTCCATGCCACATACGCTCACACCTGGGATCAAAGCCACAGCCACAAGCCAGAGGTGACCGACCAGCTAGAGGTCGAAGCGCGGCACTCTAGGCCATCCCAACCCCCCTTTCTTGTACAGACCTGTGCATGTGTAGTCAATGTGAAAATGAAAAAAAAACTGTTAAAGAGACCGAATTTGATGTTAATACATTTAGTGACAGTGATGATGATAATGAAGATTAACTTTGATGACATTTGATGTGCAGAGTAACTGTTTAATTTTGATTTTCAATGATTGTTTCACTTTAATAAATAATTTCACAACTGTTCATCCTGTTTTCTAACCTTTCCCTTCATTCCAGCCCAGATACACAATTATTTTTTTTAACTTATATCTACATGTATGTTTGTAATTTGACCATTAATCATATCCGAAATAGTAGTTCACAGCTACATGTACAGTTGTAAAAATACTGTAGTGGCTAATTGAAAGGGAACATGTATGTGGGTTTAGAATGTTTATCTTAGTGGAAAAAAATCATGTGGTTCAATGCTTATAAAGTGCTACTGATCTCCATTATTTCAAAAGCATATCACTCAACTACTGTCAAACATATCCCCTGGCTAGAATATGCTACAAATCGACTCTAGCATGTTCCATACAAGCGATAATTTCTGAGCAAACATCCAACAACCAACCCTAACAGGCCCTTGAGATCCAACAAACAAAATAATTATTGGGCTTGTTTGCCCACACCTGGTCTTATGATTCATACAAGACCTGATAGTCTATCAATTACAGGCATTTGACAGAAAGGGAGATAATTCTTTTTTACCGTTAATGGATTTCCACAATTCTTTATTCACCCATGACATTTGTGTTTTGAGCATTTTTATTTACATCAAAATCTGTCCAATAAACTGTTCATTGCCAAGGATGAAGGCATGAGGTGTTTTACCAACTATTTAATTTTATGTCAACTTCAGAATTGTTAGTACACAAATAGCATTTATTTGACAATTTTGACGAATTTCATCTGGCCCTAAATCAATAAATTGAAAACATTTTGCTTGGAACTCCCAGATTTTGTCTTCCTGGCATCATAAGCTTTCCAAAAATGTATAGTTTTTCTTTTATGGAAGACCGTGTAGCGGAGTTGTGTTTCTAAGCTAGCTAGAAATTTTGGCTGCAGGCCTACACCTCCCAAGCTAAATTTCCCTCATGTCATCCTGTATAGCAAAGGCATATGCCTGTCTTAATTAACCCAGTACTAAACACAATTTACTTGTTTAATTTTTCCAGCATTTTTCAGGATAGCTGATGGGATGCGGGTCAAGTTATGCCACTTGTCTATTTAATTATTTACAAGTGAAAAATCGAATTAACTTCACCAAATTTTTACTCATTATAATGATTTTTTTTTTCTGTTCATATTATTTCTATGACATGTGACAGTGACTGTGAATATGAAAGCTTTAATATCTGCTTAGCAGATCTAGTTATTGTTATTTTTTTTTTGTGTTTTGTCCACAAATCGGATTTCTCAGAATCTAACCATAGGATCGTTCTGAAACTTTTACCTATCCCCCCAAAAATGGGTGGTGGCTGTTGATTAAATATATTTTCAAAACGTTTTACGATTCCGAAATCACCGAATTTTACGAAGGAATGCATTTGACCTACAATGCTGTAACTCTGTGACTATTTGACCTATTTTACTAATTCTTTTTTCTTTGAGTATCTTGAAACATTTACTTCAAATCTGCAATTTCGGATTTTGGCATTTCGAAAATTCGTCGCTGTCATTTCGAACCGGAAGTTATTACCAATTTGACAACTTCTTTAATAGTTGTGCGATTTTCGTGAAATTTAGAATGTTAGTAGATCTTGCCAATGCGACTTCAATGATGTCCTCGGAAATTTTCTAAATTATCTCCCCTTGGTGAAATTAAGGATCAAAGTTTTCAAAAAAATCGACGAAATATAGGTCAAATTGCCTTGAAATTTTTTTTCTGTACTAGCTAAGACAGTACTGATGAGTACACAAAATATGGAGTTTGTCGAGCAAACCGGAAGTGCCACCATCTCAAAATGTGAAAGGTCCATACGGCTTTTGCAATATTTTACTTAAAGACATAAGAGTTACATTTTCTGAATGCTTGAAGGAAAGCCTAAAAATCTATCGGTTTAGAATTTTGATTTAGGTCAACTGATGGACGCCATTTTGAAATGAAAATGAAAATTAGTGAAAAATCCACATTTATGGGCTTGAAAACATACACAATTGGTCGTGGCTTAGAGAATCTGTCTCCTATTACCGAAATTAATACATTTTAGGATAGCCTGGATCATGGTCGAATGTTTGGTATTTGAATATTTCAAAAATTCGAATTTCTCCTTTGATGTTTTCCGTGCCGACAAGGTTGTTTTCGAGTTTAGCTGGTTTTGATTTCGCGCATGCGCTACACAGGAACCATGAGTACTAAATTCCGGCGAGCAACTTTTCACGTTGGTACCTAGGCACCCTGAAAATTTCAAGGTGATACCTGCATTCGTTCAAGTCGTTTGTTCTTGTCACCTGCCTTTCGTCGTTTTTTTTTCGAAGTCAATTTACGGCTTCCATGAGGGGAAAAAAGTGGAATTTCGCCGTGACACCGGCACCGATTGTCCGAAAACCATGAAATTTGGACACAATACGCCCATTACCACCCCGGACTCTGTGCTTTACCCCCATTTTGATCCCATTAAAAAAAAAGAGTTTTAGCAAAAAAACGATTTTCGGAATTTAATATTGGTTTTAACCCTGTAATACCCAGACATGATATATTATTATAATCCCTATGAAATATTTTAATTATTTACTGCTATAATATGAATTATCACTTGTTCCCCGTTAAATAAATATCGCTCACCTGGTGCCGCTGTACAACTTAAAGGACACTGGCCTCAAGTCAATTTACGGAGAGAGAGAGAGAGAGAGAGAAATGGGGTTTAACGTCCACTCGACACAAACTAGGTCATTTCGGGACCAACATATGGTTTAATTTTATTTCAATAATTCGCTTGCGCGTAGGGGTCTTTAGCAGTGGGAGGACCCGGAGAAAACCCACAAGGTTGGACAGGCGACCCTACTCCTTGCGTCAATTTACGGCTTCCATGAGGGGAAAAAAGTGGAATTTCGCCGTGACACCGGCACCGATTGTC